GACTCCTCTTCCAAGCCAACTGGTTGGTGAAAGAATTCACTTCCTTGTGGTTATAGGACAGAGTGAGATCCCTGAGTTTTTTTGCTAGCCGTAAACCAGCAAAAGAGAGAAGCCAGCTCTTTCTCATTTCCTAGAGAGAACCCAACAGTTCCTTCTCAGGTGGCCCCCATAATCCATTTTTAACCTGAATGCTACTTGCCTCTAGACCAGCAGGTGTACAGATCTCTGACTTCTTCTATCACTGACCAATGGGCTCCCTTTGAAGGACTCAACTGATTACCTCAAGCTTACGCACTACAATCTTCCTCTTAATTAAGTCAAAGTCTACTGATCAATAACAATTACTTGTGCAAAATCCTTTCTTTCATGTAAAGTAATATAGTCAAGAAAACAATATACCATCATAATCATAGTTTCCTCCCACACTCAAGAGGAGTTAATTATTTAAGGTATGTACATGAGACGACAATAATTTTGGAGGCCTTCTTAGAAATCTGCCCACCACACTTCAGAAATGAAAAATATCAGAAAACAGGAAATAACTCCTTATTTCATAAAATATAATTGCTGAAAAAATTGTAATAGAAACTCTGAAAGACAATATCAAGGAAATAGAATGTGCAGAGAGAGAGGAGAGAGAAAGAGGAAGAACAAAGAAAACTATGAGCAAAAATTAAGAAATTTCGAGGTATTATATAGAAAATTTAATATTTAACAAATTACAGTTTTATAAAGAATAAAGAAAATTCGAAGGAAGAGAGTATTAAAGAAAGAAATCAAGAGAATTTCCCTGAAATAAAGAGTATACATTTCTAATTGAAAAACCTTCCACTACCCAGCAAAAAAGAATAAAAACAGATCCATAACCAGAGCACACATTATTTTGAAATTTTAGTATAGGACATAGAGAGAAAATTCTAAATTCTCCAGAAATTTAAAAGAAACAAGTCATGAACAAAGGAACAAGACTGATATTTCTCACAAGCAGCACTAAATATTAAATGACATTGGAGCAAGTACTTTAAAATTCTGAGTGAAAAATGCTTTTCAAACTAAAACTCTACCCAGCCAAACCCCCATCACATGGGAGAATACAAGAACATCAGGCATTTTTGTATTGCCCAAATTTCCACACATTTACCTCCCATGAGACTTTCTCAGGAAGTCCTGAAAAACATTCTTCAGCAAATTCATGAGTAAATCAAGAAAGAGAAAGATGGGGTTCAGAAAATATAGGATCAAATCAGGAAGACAATGAACAGAAACCTCAATGTGAGGTAACTGCTGGAGCTGCTGGAAACAATCTAGATTAAGGGGAATGAACGGAGAGCTACAAAGGGGAAGGTATAAATTAAAAATATTGAGACAGCAAACTGGGCATGTGGAAAGTAGGACAATTACTGTACAATACAAATCCTCACAAATGAGGGTTTGCCACAGGGTGCATTACTTTGACTCTAGTGGAGCTGTATTTGCATAAATATTGATGAAAGCAATGATCCTTGATTTGATTTCAGTGTTTGATGGGATAAAGTTGAGAGAAATGGAGGAGTGCTGAGGAGGTTTAAAAAGCTAAATCTTCATTTCTATTATAGAAAGTCAAATGGTAGAATCTAAAAGTCACCAACCCAAAAAATATTCTTAGACTAACATAACATAATAAAATTAAAAAAAAAAGAAACATAATTCAGGGGCACCTGGGTGGCTCAGTTGGTTAAGCATCTGTCTTAGGCTCAGGCTCAAGTCTTGATCCCAGAATTCTGGGATCCAGCCGCAGGGCTCCCTGCTCAGCGGGGAGTCTGCTTCTCCCTCTGCCCCTCCCCTTGCTCATGTTCTCTCACACGCTCTCTCACATAAGCAAATAAAATCTTAAAAAAAACCCAAAAACATAATTTGGAAAAATATCAGAAGAAACAGCTGACTTAGAACTTTGCTTCTAGGGACACCTGGGTGGCTCAGTCGTTAAGTGTCTGCCTTCGGCTCAGGTCATGATCCCAGGGTCCTAGGATGGAGCCCCGCGTCGGGCTTCCTGCTCAGTGGAGAGCCTGCTTCTCCCTCTCCCACTCCTCTTGCTTGTGTTCCCTCTCTCACTGTGTCTCTCTCTGTCAAATAAATAAATAAAATCTTTAAAAAAAAAAAAAAGCAACTTTGCTTCTAGGAAAGGGATAGGATGGGAACTGCTCATTATCAGCTTTCTGTTACTATTCGATTTTTCCTAATAATGTGCTATTATATTTTTTAACTTTTTAACCATATAGAAGCATCTTCTGCAGCTGTTTGTTGGGTCATATTTGAATTTCAGATATTCTGGAAAAAAACACTATTGCAATGTTTTATTAAATAAACACAAAAAGCTAAGCTTTTAACATGTAGAACTTTACCCTCATGTAGCATATACCCTCTCCCACAATTAACAAATTGAAACTTCTTGATTTCTGGCTTTTTCTGGTGATAATATTGTTTGCATATATTTTTATTAACTATATTAAATAAAGCCTACATCTGTAGCACTTTGGAGGTATTAAAGCATTTTCACTTTTATGATGTTAATTATCCTTCCAATTACTCTGTGATAAAGGCAGAGTAAATACTCACTAAATAATAATATTATTAATATTAAATATTCATTTTATTTTATAGATTAAAAACCTGAGGTTCATAGAGTTAAGTATACTCAGAATCATGTTTTTTTTCCCTTAGAAACAATATTCTAACATTAGTATTGTATATTGCTCATCACACCACACTTTATCCTGTATGTTAGGATATAATACTTTTTTTTACTTTGTAATTTCCAGACTCAGTGTCATTTTGATAATCATGGTATTTTGTTTATCTAACTGACATTTTTTATTTTAATTATACCACTATGTACATCCACCCAATGTCACTGTGAAAGGCAATTTCCTTGTTTTTATATAATTGTAGGTAGGAAATATGTTTTTAAATATACATATATATATATATACTTATAATGCATTTACAATTTTACTTCTACTTTGTCCAAAAAAGTGCATGAATCTATATTTGCTCTACAGAGTTCCTCAATATATTCAATATATATGCCATGCCTCTTAAAAGAAATGCATACACCAAAAGTATCCACCTCTGAAAAATCAAGAAAATAGGAGGCAAGCATTAGCTTATTGGACATTCCTTCAGTCCTCCATGCTCCATTTCAGAAAACTCCCACACCTCTCATTCCGTTCTTAGGATATTATAAGAGTCTGGTACTGAGAGCTATTTGTTCTGACCTCAGAGAGCTACTAGATATGAGATTTCCCTTGAAGTCATTTGAAAAATGAGCCCAGACAGGAGTTAAGAAAGGGGAGAGAGGAAAGTAGACTCCAATAGTGGAGAGAAAAGATGATGCGTCCAGCAGAAAGGAGAAGTAGTTCACTTTTTCTCAGGCAAAACCAGTGAGGGTTTGGGGTGGTCATAAAGGCATCCTAGCATCACACAGGCAGCCAAAGAGCAAGCATATAGTAGTTCCAAGATGGATTCCAGAAGAATAATTCCATTTATCACATGAGAACTCTAGGGAGCCAAAACATCACAAAAATCTGTACAGGAAGATCCCCCACATCCTTAGGCGTATAACTACTTTTCAGATACAAAATACATATATATCCAAAATTTGGCACCACAGAGAAAGTGGGCTTGCCAATTTCATAAAGAACAGATGAATTGATGTTGTTTTACTTTAGTTAAATGTATTTAATATAACCCTGGCAATAATTCCTGTCCAATGTCTCAGCTATTTCCAGTAGTGCTAAGAAAAATGAAATATGCCAACACAGCCATATTCTATAAAGCTAGTTACTTAGAAAATAGTTGCAAACAACAACAAACTGCAATGAAACAAATGTTATTTAGAAAATTTTCTTCATCTGCCTGTATAACAAACATTTATTGAGTCCTGTCAAATTGCCAAATAAAAGTGCCAATGCTGTGGCCAGGAGACCAAGAGCTGACACAGAGACACTTGAAGTACATTTAACAGAAGAGAAATGGAGGAGCCATAGAACATTAAGGATTAATTCAGGAAGACCCAAGACCATGGAGGACTTGCCTGCTGTCTACACTATTTTCCAACCAGAGGTTGTTATGGTGACAGACTATGAAACTTTTATCAAAATCCCAGGCTGTTGGAAGCAAGGTCTGGCCATTCGAACTCACATGTCATCCTGTTGCATGGATAAGCCCTCTGAGATAGTAGATGTCAGAGAAGAGGTGGGGGAGAAGCTTATTGGCTGACAGATGAAAAATGATAGGATAGAATTATCCCTCTCCATGAAAGTTGTCAACCAGGGGACTGAGAAAGTCTTTGATGCCAACAATGTTATCACTGAGCAAGAAGAGAGGCAGAGGCAGTCCTTCCATGATTACACAGGGCAGATCACCCTCAAGGCTGTCCTGTACATCACCTGCAAGCAGTGTGGCTATAAAGACCACTTTGCAAAAGGTTGTTTTATGCAACCATAAGGAACTAAATATTCCCCAATACCTGACGAGGAAGAGGAGAAGGAAGAGGAGAAATCAGCAGAGTGAGAAGCCTGATCCGATGAGGAATTCTTCTAGAAAAAGAAAGAAGCTCCTTAGGTTTCTTCACTCAGGGAGACCTGCCCTCAGTTTGGAAAGTAATGGAGACTGACTCCTGCTGTTGCTGCTGCTGCTGCTGCTGCTGGAAAAGAAGAAAAAGAAATGAAGGAGAAGGAGAAGGAGAAGAAGGAAAAGCCGCAGCAACAGAAGTGATGGCAGCACAGGGAGTGAGAGTGAAAAGAGGGCAGGGGTGGTTGAGAGAAGAAGGAACCAGGAGCCTTGCGCCTTGAAGCCCTAGTTCCTGGAAAGACTCAATATTGAGAATATGGTCTCCCACCTCATTGACTTCTCTCCTATGGGAGAGGGCTTCTCCTCATGCCACAGGTAGGTTTGGGAGTTAGATGGCAAAAGCATCTGTCTGAATGAGTTGTTGTTAACTTACCATTCCGGGTCTCTTTGCAAGTGACTCTTGCAGCTCATCCATTCCTTGACTGAACTTCATTTAGCAGGAGGTCCCATCACCCTCTCCAGCTGCCATTGCCAGAGCCAGATTTCTGTACAGGCATCCAGTCTGGAGCCACAGGTACTGCTGTGCAGGCAAGTCTGGCTGTAGTTGAAGAACAGTGATTGGCCCCTCTCTGTTGGACCAGCCCTGGACTGATTGGTGAGTGATCTCTACGGCATCCGACACTGAGGCAGAGGGAGACATGTGATATGAGGGAGAACATGGTGAGAAGTGGTGCTTGCTTTTTCTGTTCTCCCAACATTATTCTACTGTGCTAGAACTGACAGCCAGAAAACCATTATTTGCAATGACTGAGCTTGTATATGACATTCTGCCAGACCACTGAACCAGATAGCTCAGGCCAAGATCATTGTTTTACTTTGTATTTACTACTGTATAAGTCAATTGGTTCCACTTCAGGTCTCTGCTTAAATTCCTGGCATTACATGGAGGAAAAAATGCCAGATAAAAGGCATAATGCCTGCCCTCAACAAGTTGTTTAATGAAGAAAGGATGATAAATTTAAAAAACAATGCAGTGAGATAAAGCATGAAAGAAGGTGGTGTTTGGTGTGAAGGCAGCTGAATGGGGCCTTCATACCAAAACCAAATACTGTTTTAGGTTAGGACCATGGAAGTCATCCTAGTGGAACTTGCCTTGAGCTGGATTTTGGAGGTGAAGTAAAAGATAGCTTGATTCCAAATTGGGTGGAAAAAAGCAGGATGAATAACTTGCTAAGATTATGTTTAGTGCACATAACAGAAAGTCAACTAACATAGCTTAAACCTATAGGATTTTTTTCCCATAATAAACCCTCCTTCAGTGGGAACCTTAAGGATGGTACAGTTGCTCAAGGAGTTGATGAAGAATTCAAGTTCTGTTTGGCTTCTTTCTCTGCCAGTCTTAGTGGGTGGGTTTTGTTCTCTTGGGCACAAGATAGCTGTTGTACATCCAGGCATCATGTATACATATTAGTCACAAAGAAGGGAAGAAAGGTGAAGGTGTCCTTTTTATTAGAAGAACAATAGCTTTTCTAGAAGTCTTAGCCAGTAGACTTCAGCTGTTTTATTATGGGGCCAAAACTTGATCACATGACCACCCCTAAAGGCACAGGAATCTAGGGAGGTAAGTATTTTTAACTTGGCACATTGCCTCCCCAAACAAAAATGAGGTTATGTCAGTAAGAAGGAGAAAATAGATGCTACATAGGAAACTACCACCAGGATTTCTACATTTGAGATGATAAAGTAGTTGTATTTTTCCCCTATTCCACCTACTAAGTAAAACTAAAAACTTTGGACATTATATAAAACATGTGTTTTCTTACCACAGTGAAATCAAACTAGAAATCAATAAAAGAAAGATAGAAAGAAAATATTAAAACACTTGGAAATTCCGGAAAACTAAATCAATATTATTCAATTTCCATTTTGTTTTTAATTTATTTATCAAGGAGAATAGTCTTCACACTAGAAAATTAGAAAAAAAAATCAACACTAATGAACAAAATCCCAAGATACATGAGAAGGTAGTAAGAATATTTCTAGTAGTTCTTTAACGGTCCCAGAGTATAACTGATAAATAGAGGGATGGATGGATATCCCTTCACATTACCTTGTGCTTGTATTTCTTTTCTGCCCAATTGTTTATAAGCTCTCTGGAAGAACAGCTCTAAGGAGAAATCTTGTCTCTTTCTTCTTTATACTAAAAGCCTTAAACACAGTGGTCATTCTAAAATTATAATTGAGTGGAATAATTGATTAATTAATTAATTGATCATTTGAATGAATTAGTTTCTAGCCATAGAGAATTCATTTATGAATAAACAATTCAAGTTGATGAACCAATTACCTCTAAAGCACTGCCAAGTTTCATAAATTACTTTTCTCATAGTGAATAACTTTTCTTAAGGGACACACATGTGAAATGAATGAAAAACAAAAATCAAGCAAAAGAAGCCAATAAATGTGCCAAACACAGGCATTTACAATTAAACTTACAGCTTTCTGACAGTAGGATCAGACATACACATACACACACACACATACACACACACACAAATATGGTCAATCGGACAAATTTTATTATTTAGAAAAAGGATAATACTGTCCTCAGATTTTCTATGAATAAATCAAATGGTAACTGCCAAATGAAAGTGCATATTCAGGATATGATGATGGAAGCATATGGTTAGATCATAGGAAGTGAAACTAGGCTCTGCTGGTCAGAGCACATGTGGAACATGGTGATCACTTTTGGCACATCATTTAAAGATATTAATAATATTAATAATTAATAATAATTAATAATAATTATTAATAATAATAAATTCTAGTGTGTTTTAGGGGAATGTGAGCTAAATGGTAAAAGGTCTTGAACTGTATCATTCAAGCAATGGGTTGAGAGAAATAGTGAGAAGAGAAATCCATGGGAAAGCACATGAATTATCTAAATACTTGAAGGGCATTCATGTAAATGAGGGAGAAAATTCTGGAGGAGTTAAACTCCTAATGATATGGTTGAGAGACACACCATTAGGTTCAATATCAGTAAGAGTTCCGAATGGTTGTAACATCTCAATATCAGGCAAGCTTCCCATGAGAAGTGACCACCCCATTACAGAAGAGTTAATGAAACCCCAGGTAAGCATTAACCAAGGATGTTAAGAGATTTCTAGAGGAGTAGGAGATTGAGTCAGATGACTTCAGAAGGCCATTTCAATATTCACATTCCATACCTCTAAGAGCTTCAGGTATAAATTACTGGTAGATTTTCACTAGTTCTACTGTATGATTTTACTCAATTCTATTTGCCAATGATAACTTATATTTGGCGTAAGTTAAGACTAAAATCTGTAACTTTTTAAATAAAGAAAATTAATTGGGTCACCTAAGATTCAAACCTAAGGCCTGGGTTTCATAAAAACAGGGTTTCAAATAACTCAATCAGAACAGACCTATAACCACTAAGGAAACTGAAGCAGTAATCAAAAATCTCCCATCAAATAATTCAATCAGTAAGGCTTGTATTTAAGTGGGGCCACATTTCTTATCCAAGACTTATTGGCCTCTATGGCTCTAGTACATAATTCTGGCTTATTTTTGTTTAGGAAGGTATAATTCTCATTGATAGTATGTTTTTTTATTTATTTGTCAGAGAGAGAGAGAGAGCACAAGCAGGGGAAGCTGCAGAGGGAGAGGGAGAAGCAGGCTTCCTGCTGAGCAAGGAGCCTGATGTGGGACTCGATCCCAGGACCCTGGGATCATGACCTGAGCTGAAGGCAGACACTTAACCGACTGAGCCACCCAGGCATCCCATGCACTCCCATGTTTATTACAGCATTATTATCAATAGTCAAATATGGGAACAACTTAAGGGTTCATCAATGGATGAATGGATACAGAGGATTGGGTGTAAATATATGATGGAATATTTTTCAGCCATGAGAAAGAAGAAATTTCTGCCATTTGTGACAATGTGTATGGACCTTCAAGGCATATGTGAAATAAAATAAGTCAGACAGAGAAAGGCGAACACTGTGTGATATCTCTCATATCATAGAAACAGAGAGTAGAATGGTGGCTACCAGGGGCTGGGGAGTTGGGGCATTGGGGAGATATTGGTCAGGGTGTATATAGTTGCAGTTATAAGATGTATAAGTTTGGGGATCTAATGCACAGCATTGTGATTATAGTTAACAATACTATATTATAGACTTGGAAGTTGCTAAGAGACTAGTCTTAACTATTCTCACCACAAAAAAGAAATAAAAATTATGTGATGTGATGCAAGTGTTAGCTAAAGCTAAGTGGTAATCACATTGCAATATATGTGTATTAAATCAACAAGTTACACACTTTAAATTTACTCAATGGTATATGTCTATTATATTTCAATAAACACACACACAAATTTACTTAAAATATTTTTCTTAAGTTAAGGACATTCGGATGGCATAATATTTTGAGACTCATTAGCATTTTCTATTTAGGAGTCATTAAGCAGAGTATCCCATTAGTTCAAATATGTATGTACATATATATGCTTTATTTATTATTTTGTGTTTATAAAGGAAACAGTCCCAGAAAAGGGTGACATAATATGCATCCAAACAAATGGCACACACTTGAAAAACAACTTTTATTTCACTTAACTCGGTAGTTCAGACAGAAGGAGTAAGTCTGTATACTTCTTTCAAAAGGAGGGCACGACCAGTTTGCAAACTCTATGGAACAAAAATCTAAGAAAAATAATAATATTGGTCCACAAATTTGCAAGCACCATGATGAATTATATTTATTTTGTTCTCCTTGTGGAGATAACAGTAAAAGTGGAAGCCATGACAAACTTGAGAAACTTTGCTAAAAAGTATGGCTCCAGGGGTAACCTCGTGGCTGTCCTTTGGGTTGCTATGCCTAAAATGATCAGATGTTTCACATTTCTAATGAAAGCTGGAAATTGAAATTGGTTTGTGAAATCTATTTCTATACATTGAGAAATAACTCAAAATCTAAAAATGAAAACATCCTGTGGGCCGAATATTATACAGTCTGCCAAACAATACCTGTTAGCCGGTTTCTGAAAGTTATGGCTTCTAATCTATTCCATTACTTTACTGTGATACCCATCTTTAAATAATACCTACTTCTAGGCTATGATTCAAGAGGTAATAATAATAAAGCAAATGTTTATAAAATGGTTATTATATACCAGGCACTCTGTATGCTAAGTGCTAAAATCTTCACAACTATACAACTATCATTAACTTTGCTTCAGTGAGAAATTGGAAGATTGGAGTTAAATAATATGCCTGGGTTCACCAGACTAGAAAAGAAAGCTGAGCAAAGCATCCAACACAGCAGGGACAAACTCCGTAGTAGCAATCATTATGATGGCTTGTGGCTGAGTAGCCCTTAATACCCTGTTGCCAGGGTATTAAGTATCTTTTCCCAAAGTCGCCAAGGAAGTTGATACTAGATAATAATACTCTATTTCTTCCCCTCCAAACTAGGCTTTTCTCATCAAGCAAGACTGCCTTGAGTTTTAAAGAGTCTTGTCCCTAAGTTCAATAATTTTAGTGAGTTTTACCAAAAGCCATAAGGAATTTCTTTTGACTCCATCTTTATCTAATCAATTTGTCAGCAGTGCATGAAGCCATTTTTTCAAGAAAGTGAATGGAAGAAAT